TTTTTTTTTACATTTTACTTTTCGAAATTTTTTTTGACTTTATAACGTTTTCGATATTTTTTTTTCGGCATTTTTTCGTTCGACAATTTTATCGTTTGGCGTTATACAGTAGAATCATGTAGATATTATATACAATTTGAAATGTAGAAATTTTTGTCTTATTAATTTCATGATTAATCAACTAGCCTTTGGGGAAAGAAACAAAAGCGTAGATGACAATTGACCTTGAACTCTATATAAATAGAATAAAAAATAAAGTAATAGAAATCATTTTTATTTTTATGCTCAACTCAGTAGACGTAAAATAAATACTTTAAAAGGTTTCTTTGTTTTTTAAAGTATATTTAAGAACTCCATAAAAAGAACATGCAGACATTGTTTATTTTATTTAATAAAGTATCTTTTATCTAGTTTTAAGAATTTTTTTTTAAATTCTAATGTATTCATGGTAATAAAAGTACCTCCGATATATACATATACTATGATTTTTTAAATAAAATCTCTTACTCATTTTCTTGTTGAATATAATGTTCATCAGTAGTATTATTACTATATAATATTTGTTGTTCATCTGAACTGTGATAACTTGAATCGGATGTATTTAATGACCTGCCGTCATCATCATCATCATCATCATCGTTATCTTCATCATCATCAAAAGATCCATCATTTCCCTCAAATGCTGCTGCGATCAACTCCATTATCTAATAAGTGCAAAAAATTAAAAGTCTTGTTTCCAAAATCATATTGTTTTACTTCATTTTGTTTTATTTGTTCATGTGCAATATCTTCACTATCAAAATCATTTTCGATAAGATCAATAGAATCCGGTAAAATCATACTAGCACCTGAATTATATTCCATTTCTTGATTTCTTTTTTACAAACTAATCTCTAACATGCATACAAAACATCTACGATAAAAGTAATAGTCCAATCAACGTAAAATGAAAACGAAAACTTAAAACAACAAATGAATTATTTTCCTTTTACTTATCAGAAGTATAACAAAAACGAAACAATCATTTTTCTATCAATCACTTTTTATTTTTCTTTACTCTTTACAAAATAAACTTTATTTTTACCATTGAACCTTCTTGTCTGACTTTGTCACTATAGATACAACTAAAAATAGCGACATCTAAAGAATATACATCGATTGTTGCTATGTAACAATATATGGTAGAATAGTTTAGAGGAAAACGGATTTCGTTAATCAAAAAGTTAGAATAACAATGCCATCGAATAAAAGAGAAAAATCTGCCTCAAGACAATATCAAGAAATATCGGGAAATACGAATGAAAATGAAACCGATCAAACTCGACCTACAACAACAACAGCTGCGTAAAAGAATTTATTTTTTTATTTAATTTATTTTTAGTTTTAATTGAATATTTTAGTACCGATACTAAAAGTAAATGGTTATCAGCACATAATGATTTTGTTGCAGGAATAAATACCGTTGGATCATGTGTGGAACTTGTAGATTTATATGCAGAAGGTTCAGTTAATTTAGTTATTGCGGATTTTGGAAATATTCTTTTAATGCCAAAAATACAAGCGAAATTAAAAGTTTTTAAAGGTAAATAATAATTAATTAATTATTTATTATTTAGAAATATTTTTTTCTGTATAGAATTTTCATTACTGAAAGAAAATAATCTTTCGGATTTACCATGTGCTGTTGTTGCTTGTTATATGGATACTCTTCAACCAAGAATTCCAGGTAAAAATTTTCCTTTCCTATACATATATGTTCATATTTTGTTTTTTATATGTATAGCATTAGCAGTTGCATCTGGTTCAGCCGTTTTTCTTTTTAAATCATTGCGGCCTTATTATAAATTTGTATTACCTCAAATGGAAATTGCTCAAGTAGAAAAAGATGTTTGGCATAAAGCTCGTGAGGTTTGTTTGTATAAAGATGATAAGCATAAGCATTTATTTTAATAAACGAGATATTTTTTCTTTAGGGTAACATTGATATGCGTGCCATGCATGATGTTCTGAATGATCTTCATCGTGGTGGTACTGTTCCTCTAACACATCGATCACTTGCGTAAAAACCAACAAAAAATTTCTTTCTTAATTCTTTCTTTTTTTTTGAAATTTCAAGATTTTTACAAATGACAAACACTAATGAAGCACATCAATTCGTTGAACATTATAAAACTATAGAATTAAAACGACAAGTAAAAATAATTTTTTTTTACGAGAAAAACATAATCATAATTTATTAATAAAAGAGTTGTATAACATGTATGAAAAAATTAAACAAAAATTCAGCTGACGAAGATGCACTTAATTGTCTTGTTATTGGCACTGAAGATCAACATATTTATATAATTGAAGCTCAAGCATTTACAATCATGGCTACGGTAAATGAATACATATTTTTATACTTATTTTAAAGCTCATCGGGTCCAGGTCCGGATATCGAAGCTTTTAGTGACCGGGTTCGGACTGAAAGAAATATGTTATTAACATGATATTTTTTTGAATTTCTTGAATTTTTTATTCATTTCATTCAAAAAGTCTTAAATTTATTAACAAAAATAATAGAAAAAACAACAACAAAGCTATTTTCGAAGCAACTATCGGATTTTAATTAGAAAAATTTGTCGAGAGTCTGAAATTACAGTTCGAGTTCAAGCTAGTGCTCATCAGGATCGGGTCCGACTTGGACCGGGCATGGCTTCGGGTCCGATCTAAAAAAAGTTTATCGAACGGGTCCGGGTCGAAAAATTGTGGACCTGATGGGCTCTAACTTATTTACTTTCTTTTCATATGATTATAGATGAATTGTCCTGCAACACCATCATTTCTTGATGTATCCGGTGTGTATGATGTTGAATTTCGTATATTAGCTACTTGTCGTAATGGATATATATATTTATTTCGAAGGTAAATTAAATTCTTTTTTTTTGAAAATTGTAATGTATCTATTGTAGAGGAAGTGAAACACCACGTAATGCAATTTATTTAAATTCAATTGCTGTTGGTCTTGAACGTTTCGGTAAAAATATAATTGTTGGATGTATGGATTCATCTTTACATTGTTATACAACGAAAGTATAAATTCGAATTTTATTAATAAAAAAAATGAACTTTGTTTTTCTCCAAAAGGGTAAACGTTATTGGAAACATTTATTACCAGCACAAATAACTGCAATGTGTCAAATTGATTATCGTCCGAAAGGTTTTCAAGCTGTCGCTGTTGCATTAGCTAATAATGAAATACATTTATATAAGGATAAATTTCTTGTGGATGTTATTCAAGTTGAAGAAAATATTTATGCAATGAAATTTGGTAAATTAGGACGAGAAGATGCAACATTAGTTATGATAACTAAAAGTAAATATTTTATTTCGAATCTTAAAATTATATATTTATTATTTGTAAATATAGATGGTGGACTTCTAGTAAAAATTCTTAAACGTACAGCTACGTTTGAAGAAAGTGATACACTTCATGGTCCTCCGAAAGAACAACAAGTTAAAATTGATGTTCCAAAACGAACAAAACTCTATGTCGACCAAACATTACGTGAAAAAGAACAAGCTGAAAGTAAATTTCAAATAGACAAAACAAAAAATAATGTTATATTTTTTTTTCTAAGATATGTATCGAATTTTTCAACAAGATTTAATTCGTTTAAAATTATTAACTGGCAAAGAGTTTCTTAAATCAGTTCAAGCTGGATTAAATCCAATAGCTAAAACTAAAAATGAAGCTATACGAATCAATGCTGAAGTACATGGACTTGGTCCACGATTTAAATTAACTGTTAAACTTCAAAATACATCATCAACATCATTAACACCAATCATCGATTTGTTTATATCATTTACATATGATGAAAATATTTACAGTCTTAATCCTAATTATATCGAGGTTCGATAGTTTTCTCAAGAGTACTTCAATAAATATAAGTATCAAAATGACTTTTTTTTCTTCTTCTTTTAAAGATTCCAATTCTTATCACTGGAATTGAATATGGATTTTGTACATTTGTTACTTGTATTACCGATAAAGTCATTTCGGATATAATTAAAGTAATTTATTTTATCTTTTTTGTTCTTAATTTGTATTATTTTTGTTAATAGGTATATGTTTGCCGACGTGATTCAAGTGCACCATTAATATCTGCAGTTATTAATATGCCAGTTGCTGAACCAAATCTTTCTATTTAAATATTGTCTTGACCTTTTTATGTTGTTTTTATTCAATGAATTAATATATATAAAAAAAAGACACTCTTCTTAAAAAGACCTTGTAATTGCCTAGACGGAAATTGTTTTTGCGAGCAAATCACAATTGGATTTTCGATGGGATCATCAACGTTTCCTCTTCTCCTTTTTTAGTGTGTTCACGCGCTAACACCATCATCGATGTTCACATGATAATGAATATAACATAGTGTAGAACATTCTTGCATCTCTCTATCCATTCTTTCTTTTTTTTTGAAGGCAAGCGACAACGAGTAGAGATAATAGACGTGTTCTATGAAGACATTCATGCTTTCTACCAATAGAATGTTATTATAACAGATTAGAATACACGCGAAACAAAAAGGCACTATCCCTATCACTTATATATATGTATGTCAATGACTGAAATTTTGAATTTTTAAAGATATAAACACATATATATATATAAGTAATGTATATGTACTCAGTTTCCGATGATATATTGTAAAAAGAGCATTGATAGCCTTAGGTGATTCTCTTTGTTGACAATGATCTTTGATTACATACATTGTCGTATGTTAATCAATACCTGATAGACAAAAGCGGAAACAATTGTAAATAAATCTATATTAAACACACACTTTTGTACTTCTGTAATTCTTTTAATGTGTTCTATTGCCACTGCTTTCTCTCTGTCTCTCTCTCATCATCATCGGTCTTGTCTTTTGTCCTGATGAAGAGAGAACAAGAGAAAAAAAAAAGGAAACAAAATAGATAGCGAACCCATTGCACATATACGATCGTCGAAATGATTCACAATCAGAAGTGACACACTAAAAAAAATACATTTTCTTTAGTTGTACGTTCGTGTTTATCTATTATTCTCTTATTTGTCATTATTGTTATTATTATTACTTTGTTCCATAGTTGATCTAAGTTTGATTTTGCCAATATTTAGAGTGTATATTTCTCATTTGTAATAATGGCTGAAGTAGTTCACCGTATAACAGAACTTACACATCTACGTATTTCATGGTTCGGTTGTTCTGATGACGATGCATGCAATCGTCTTAATCATCGTCATACTGTTTTAATGTTACTTATCTTTTCAGCTATTCTCACTTCACGTTTATTCATTTCTGATTTAATTATATGCTGGACACCGGGTGAATTCACAGGTAAAATATTATTATTTATAAAAAAAAAGATCTATCTAATCAAATCAATTGTATTCATTCATCGTTTTTACAATGAAGAATAAAACACTCATGAATACATGATAGAAAGAATTGACATGACATATCTATTTATCTAATATCGAAGATTATTTTTTATTTAAGGTAATTTTGTTTCATACACTCGGCATTATTGTTATGTAACAAATACATATTATATATCAATGAATGAAACTATTCCAACGTTAGCTAATGCTCATATACGTCGTCGACGTTCAATTTATTATTATCAATGGTTACCAATATTACTTGCATTTCAATCATTATTATTTCTTATTCCGCGTTTACTTTGGAGTAGTTTTAGTTCACGTTGTGGAATTAATTTACAACATTGTTTATCACCGAAATTTGATTATCGAACAAGTCGATATAAAGTTCAACATATAACAACAATGCTTAATTTATTAGCACGTACAAAACAACATGATTTTAATCGTATGACAACAAATGAACCAGGTGGATCATTAAATTCAAATAGTTTATCATCACATCAATCATCATTATTTAAATTTTTACATATGTTTTGTATGCCATTTATATTTCTTACTGGTAATTCAACTCAGGGTTATTATTTAGCACATTTATTTCTTATTGTTAAAATACTTTTTCTTCTTAATTCATCATTACAATTATTCTTTTTAAATACATTATTAACAAAAAATTCAATTATATATGGTCTTGAAGTTTTTGATAATTTTCGTCGTGGAGAATATGTTATTGGTACAAGAATATTTCCATTGAGTGTTTATTGTGATTTTAATATTGTTAAAATTGGTCAACCAACACTTTATACAGTAAGAAAACATATTTCAAAAAATTCAATTTATTATATTCTATTTTAGGTTCAATGTTTATTACCAATGAATGTATTTAATGAGAAAATATTTACTATTATTTGGTTTTGGTTAGTTTTTTTAACTATAACAAATTTTAATAGTCTTTTATTAACAATAATTCGTAATAGTTTTAATCAATTTAATTATTCTTATGTTGCAAATTATTTAAATTTATATTCTAAAACTGAACGTTTTAAACGACAAATACTTATTAAACGCTTTATTTTTGATTATTTATCAGCTGATGGTGTTTTAATATTACGATTAATATCAGAAAATATTAGTGATTTATTAACAAGTGAAGTTGTTAATGAACTTTGGGCTGAATATAAAAAATTAGCAGGTTTATCTGCAAAAAATCGTGAAAAATATCTTTCAAGTCAACGATTAAAAACTTTTCATGTATCAACAACAAGTCAATCTCATGGAGAAACTACAACAGCTCAAACAAGAGATATTTATAGTCGTTATAGTGCTCGCTAAAAAAAAAAAATACTAACGTTATAAATCTTAAAATTGAATGAGCGGAATGCTTGTCAGAGAAGACAATAGACATGATGATGATAATTAAATATGATCGAAGGAACGGTTATTGATGCGTGCTTCAAATCAACACTTTGCTCACACCACAAGAGACACTCTATCATGATAATGATTATCTTTATAGAATAAAGGCAGACAACGACTAAGTAACAAACCATTAACAACAAAGAAGAAGAAGAAGAAAAAAAAGAAGACAACATTACATAGATTAATGTCATGTTTTTTAACAAGAGTTTAAGTGCTAGATTCGCCGGAAGGATGTTTTATTTTAATAGATTAGATTAAATTTATAGTTCATTATTTGTACATATCAATTTGTTTTTTAATATCATTTGTTCGATTTAATATCATAATAAATACACTGATTGATGAATACAATAGATAGATGAAAGGCAACAAATATTGATAGATTTGCTACATAGAACATGCTTTCATATAAGCATCGGATAGAAACAGAACGAAGAAAATTATCATCAAATAAAATAAATTTTTTTCAAATCATGAATTGAACAACAAAGAATCGATTGTGCATATCAGCACTCTATCTATTCGCAATAGCTTATTTTTTACATTCATTGATAATACACGATATATATTGGAAAAAATTCTCATAACAGCCTTGAATGAATAAATTTTGCTCGAATAATTCTAGATAAACACGTATCGTTCTAAGTAATAAAAAAAGCATGAAATCGATTCCATGTTTTATATCACTTCGTAGAATTTGTCACATATGTAAATCTATTTAACCGTATTTATTACATGCAATAACAATTATTAACGAAGAAAAAGAATATTCAATATTAAAATTCCCGCTATTTAATTTCTGTTCATCATTTACTAAATATCAGTTTTTAGCTTATTCCCTCTAAATCAATATTCATACAATAATAACTTAATTTCTGATCTCTAAAGTATGACTACAGCTATTTTTCTTTTAACGTTATCATTTGCTTATATTCTTCTTGGTACATGTGCACAATTTACTATAGCTATATTTACATCTAATCCATTATTGCATTTACATTGGCAATATCTACCATTTTTTATTATTATTCAAGCTATTTTTATTTGTCTTTTTTTTATTAGGTAAAACTTCGTTTTTTTTCTCTTCGAAATTTAATCGATTTATGTTTTCTAGTGGCTTTCGTCGAGATTCATTTATATTTCTTTATCCATTTCTTTTAACATTATTATTACATTTATGTTCCAATCTTTGGTATATTTTAAATATAATTCATTTACGAAAATATCAATCAATTGAAATTCAACATTTTTTTGATTATTGTTCAAAAGACATATTAAACATGAATTATGAAACTAGACAATGTACATGTATACGAAATAATTATAATGATAAATATCTTATTGATATGTCATGTATGAAAGTTAAATTATTAATTGAACTTATTCAATTAATGCCATTTGTTAGGTAGAGAAAAAAATTTCATTGTTAATAAATCAAATTATTTATTTTTGTATTTAGTATTTTACTTGTTTTGGCTGATTTTTATACATTTATATTAGTCACATTTGTTTATATTTACGAAAAACGATCATTAATAGACTATCTACCAACACCCGATGAATACGATATAGCATAGATGAAAGAGAAATAAAGAAAAGAAAAGATTACTATTTATTCTTTTTATGGATTTTAATTAGAAAAAAATGATAATCTATCTCGCCTACGAAATGAGCTTATGAATAACAATATATGTATAGGAAATCCATAGAGATATAGCTTTTTAGTTTCTCATTTGCACTTCATGATTTTAAAAGAAATCGACAGGATGTTGCTGTTGCATTTTTGTTTAATCTGTACGATTATTCCATCATTTGTTTTATGTAATCAATCATCATCGCCTACTGATCAAATCATTCTTACATTAACACGAGCTTTAAATTTCTTTTCAACTCATATCGATCAAGTTAATCTTGATGCAGGTATTGGTCCAAGAATTGCTGCTGATCAATTACGACCTTATACAATGTGTAAACATTGTAAATCAATAAAAAACTTGGTTGATTTAAGTGAACATGTTACTTGGAAAATAATTCAATCAGTTCGTTATCGACAACCTGATTATTTTCAACAAGTATCCTTTCTTGTAATGCCTGGTACATTTTCAACAATTGTACCATTTGAACAACAACGAGATAAATATAAGATGCATATCGAAAATAAATGTTCATCATCACCATTTATTGAAAAATATTCTGATCAATGTCTTCATGCATTAATAAATACAAAATGTAATCATACTGAATCATGTACGAAATTAATGAGTGATCCATATGCATGTCGTTATTCATTAACTCATCAAATACTTTATTCAATAATTGTAAAACAATCATTATGTTATCAACAACGATTATCATCATTTAATGAACATCGATTAATTTTAAAAATGTTAGATGAAACTCATCAAATTGCAAATAGAAATTTTCTTGAAAATGATCGTGATTTATTTATGGAACAAATTGCATTCGGTGGTTTAGTTGGTTGGAGTGATTTTTTTCAAGATAAAAAATGGTTTAATTCAATTATAAATTGGCAACATCCTATTGAAGGTTGTTATGGTAATGATACAAATCATCATATAAATAAACGTGAAGAAATGCAAATGTTACATCAATGTCTCAGTCATCGTACTAGTGTAGCAATAGCTGCACTTTCACAAATTCTTCGATATTTGTTGTCGTCTAGAGACATCTAACATTATAAAATAAAAGAAAGAAAAGTAACCGATGTATGATGTTGCTAAGGAACGTTGTTCTGTCGTTCAGTATCAATGATGAGAAATAAAGGAGATGTAAAGGATTAAATAAGAGAACAAAATAACTTAAAGATGATCAAGTCTGACTCGGTATGTAATAATAGAACAAGGACAAATCAATATTTTCGTTTGTTTGTTTTATATTAGCATGATAGTAGTGTTGAATATCATAGTCATCATGAAAAATTAATTAAGGATGATACACTTTCACGAGCACGTCGTGCTCGTCGTCAAAGTCAAACAAATTCAGTAACAAGTGGTGATGAGACTAGACGAGAAGGTTATATAAAATATTATTTGATAGAATAGTTGATTTTATAACGATATTTTGTAGTTTCTGAAACACATTTACGACCACCAGCATCTCGTCGTCAACAGAGATCATCACCGAAAAGTTCTAATTTACCACCATTAAGTAATGCAACAAGCGTTACTATAGAAAATGAAACCAAACCTGTACGAAAAAAGAAAACATTTAAACCACGTGAAGGTGAAGAAGTTGAAATGACTGTTAGAAAACGTAGTAGTAGTCGTCAACGACGTCGACAACGAACAACATCGAAAGAAGGACAATCCGAATCTGAAGCAACGATTGATCATGGACGAGATAAAATACTTGGAATTGTTATTCATCGAACAGATCGTTTAAGAACAGATCTTAGACTTCGACATCCATTTGTACGTGTACATTTAATTGATCTTAATACAAGATCGTATGTACGAAAAACTGATCCGTATGTTTAATTCACAATAGATTGGAAATTAAATAATAATATTTACATTTCTTTTAGAAATCGTTTAGTACTTCGTTATCATATTCCAAATGAACATCCAACTGATTATATACCAGGCATATCAACTGATCCCTATGATTTTAATGCGAATCGGTAAATATTTTTTTTTATCAATTATTATTTATTCGAAAGAAATTTTGTTATTAGTTCGACAATTCCATCATGGGAACAAATGCTCATTATTAATGAAGAATATCCTCATTTTACAACTGTGCAACAACAGAATATATTTATTTTTTTCGAAGTAAATATTCATAATGAAAATATATAAAATTGAATAGTTCGTTTTTTTTATAGATTCTTGAATTTGTTACCAATCAACAAAATACAAATGATCTATCAAATACATTTCCAATAGCATGGGCATTTCTAAAAGTAAATTAATTGAATGAAAAAAAAGCTGAAAAAAACTATTTTTTTATTAGATTATCGGCTCACGAAATACTCTTAATACTGAACGAATAATGCGTTTACAACTTTGGCAACCAATCGAACACCAACATGGTTCAGCATTAACACCCGATGTAAATAAATTGAAATATTAAAAACCAAAACTTAAATTTCATCTTAGGTTGTTATGTGGCATAATCATATGCATCGTACAAAATATCCATCGACACTTTATGTTACAATTAAACCACTTAATATACCAACACATTTTTATCCAGGTTTACGATCAGCATTAGATGGTGGTATTGAACATATGCGAAATGAATATCGACAGATAAAACGAGAACTTGAAGAGTAATTAAGAAATATTTTATTTTATTTTTCTATATGATTTTTTTTTGAAAATAGACAAAATAACCCAAATGGTATATCGGAACATCTTACAGATAGTCAACAAATGGATTTAAATAATGAAACCATGGGACCATTACAACGTGTTGCACAAATTCCACCACAATGGAAAAAATTACCTAATTCAAAATGTAAAATTCCAACTGAATCATTACTTTCACTTAATACAAGTGAACGAGGTTGTTCATCAATACGTTTTTCACATAATGGTCATTTTCTTGCTTGTGCCGAGGTTAACAAAGCACAAGAAAATAATATCATATCGATTTTTGAAGTAAATCTATTGATTTAAAAATCATCAATTTTTCTTCAAGAATATTCTTTCCATATAGATTATGCACGGTCGACGTGTAGCCTTGTTTACTGGACATTTACAAATGATTTATGATCTCGATTGGTCTAGAACTGATTGTTATCTAGCATCAGCATCAGCCGATTCATCCGTCAAGTAAGATATCGATTTTTTTCTATTTAGTAATGACACAACTATATAATCAATGATAGTAATCTTATTTTCTGAGTTCAACAGATGTACATAACATTGTTGTTTTTTTTCAAAGATTTCTATGTATATCTATAATTGTTTTAGAATTTGGAATTTTGAACAAATTCAACGAAAACCATGGCGATCGTTAGCTCATCCAAGTTACGTCTATTGTGTTCGTTTTCATCCATTCGATGAAAATATAGTCGTTACTGCTGGTTATGATAAATTAATTCGTATATGGGATCTTAAAAAAAAACATGGACATGTAAAATACAATTTTATTCGTTTTCATTCTAATAAATTTGTTTAATATAGATAATTAGAACAATGGCTGATCATTTAGGATTTATTAGTAGTCTATCATTTAATCCAGATGGTACACGATTAGCATCTGTTGATAGTGTTGGTGCTATTAAAGTTTGGCATGGATTACCAAATGAAACAAGTACATCTCAAAGTATGAATATTTAATTGACAAAAATAAAAAAAGAAATTTTTTTCTGATTTTTATTACTAGTATTTGCTGATAGTTGGACATTGGGTTCAACTTTAGATTTTACTGAATTACAAGTATGATGAGATCCATTTTTATTGAGAAAAAAATGTCTATTTGTTTTCTATTGAATAGAATATTCCATTGAATAGTGTTACTTATTCACCAGGCGATCATTATTTATTAGTGTCTGCTCGTGACAATTTAATTGTTTTAATCGATGTTCGAACGTAAGAAATTGATTTACTTTTCAATTATGTTTTATTTATATATATTTATTTAGAAAATCTATTTCACGTCGTTATATTGGATCATTTAATTTACAAGATCGTATTCGTTCAACATTTTCATCATGTGGTTCACTCGTATTTTCTGGTAGTGAAGATGGGCAAGTACATTGTTGGCATACATATAATGGAAATTTACTTTATTCATATAAATATATCAATTATACTCAACCTGTTGTTGATATACAATTTCATCCATTTGATAATATATTAGCAATGTGTTCAATTGGACCATTACATCAAGTTTATGTATTTCAACATACATTTAGTGAAGCTGATATTGAAGCAAAACCTTTTCAATCACAACATAATATATCAAGACAAGGATTTACACCAACAGCAACACCATTGGTGACTTCAGATACAGATCGAAGTTTCGGAAAATCAAGAATGGAAAGTAGTGGAGATGAATTACCAAGAACAGCAACAACAACATTGAAAAATGAATCGAAAAATCGACGATTAGCAGTTGTTAACAAAATTCTTGATGAAATGGATGATGTTATTGTAAGTAAAAGAATGAAATAATCTTCTCAAATGCATATCTATTTTATTTAGAATCCAAAATCTGGAACAAGTCGTCGTCGAGATTCAATAACAGATTATGGTGGTAATCATTTTCAACGTGACATATCACCATATCAAGGACATCAAAATATTTCTCTCTCAGGTTATAATTCTGATTCAGGTCGACCACCACTTGTTAGTCCATTACGTAATTTAACAACCCCTGATCTTTTCGTTCCATTAACAAATCGAAGTGATGAAAATGATGATTATATGTATCAAAAATCACCTTCATCAACAAATCAAATAATGTATGCGACAACAAATTATAAAGCTCAAAGTGCCGAAGAATTATCATTTTCAAAAAATGATAAAATTAAAATATTGCATAAAGAATCTCATTTGTCTTGGTATGCTGAACATATACAAACAGGTGCACGTGGTTATATTTCACCAAATCGTGTGCATATTAATGCAAAAGATACATATCCCCAATCACAAAAATCAACAATAACAAATACACATTCAATTAGTGAAATACCACGTTTGGATAATAGTAGTCGACGTATACAACAGAAAAGTGTGAAATTTGATAGTTCTGATTAGAACATGAAATGTTTTAGAAATAAGTCTTAGCTATATTTAGTTACGTTCATTTGTTTTTGTATTGCACATTTTAATGCAATAGGGCAGGTTTATTCTTGTTTTTTTT